CACGTTAGTAACTTCAAGGAAAATAATAATCAAAATAATTAAATTAAATAATTGAAAGAGAAATTTGTGACCAAACCCTTAGAAATTAAAACCTTTCACGTCTAAGGCGAAGGCAACTTCGAATATGACTAGGTGTATCTAAGTCTTGCGAATGCGGAATTTTGTATTTGAGAAAAGGCTAGTTTAGAAAAGAGAGAGAGAAAGTAATCAAGAGAATCTTGATGAGAGTTGGTGAGAATTGGTGAATGAAAACGGAGTTTTTAGAAGATTATTTATAGAGAAAATCAGCCAAAAAGATAAAAAATCGAAACAGAGTTCTGACGCGTAAAACGAGGTTAGTGCCAAACGCTGACATTAGCGCCAGGCGCCAAGCTTAGCGTCAGGCGCTAATGCTGGCGTTTGGCGCTGACTAAAATATTGACGCGTTTTCTAAAATCAGATAGAAATTGCCGTACAGGAGGATAAAATCGTATTTTCCTCAAAAACATTCTTTTATTCTGATTAAAACTCTAAAAAGTCAACAAAAGTCAATTTATCAATGCTAATTGAATTAAGAATGAAAAGAACCTTCTAGAAGAATCTAGAAGACTAAAACCATTCCCAATTGCATTAGGAATGATCAATCTATATTAGGCCCTCCTCTAGATCATTGGGCCGCATATGATGCTCAAACCGGGCCCAGTTCAGTAATTTAGCCATAACTTCCTCAATATTCATCGGAATTGGGCTTATAATATATCGTTGGAAAACTCTTTTCAAGCCCTATCCAACTACACTACTATTGGACCCATATAATGGACCAACCAAACTGGATTGACTGTTTTCTTAAAATAGGTTTTCAAAAACAGAAAGAAGAGAAAAGAAATTAAAATTATCTGCAACACTAAACTTTTCACACTTTCACTTTATTCGATTATGATTCGACGTGAAAGGTACTCATCACTGGGTTTGGTTTTCGGGAGACACAAATGGGTGTCTACAATATCAAATTCTAAAAGATATCATCGATACAAAATTAGTTAGAAATTGATGTGTTTTTGTGACGATTTGAACTATGTAGTAGGCATATAATGAGTAATGATTAATAATAATAATAATAATAATAATAATAATATTGGTGAATAACATTTCTTGACCCGTAACCTGAAATAATGACCCTGTCCGAAATGACTCGTGACCGACCCGATTGACAGGTCTACACGCTGCAATAAAATTATATTAGATTGTGAAGTATATTATTTTAGTTGGTTAGAATATATTATAAACAATGAATAATGTGGTACATTTTGAACTAATTCCTTAGCTCCAAAAAAAATATTAAAATACAAAAAATAAATTTATATGATAATTTGTGAGATTTATAATCTAATAATTTTTTCGAATAAAATTATACTCCGTAATTTAATTTGTACATATGAAATATTGGTATTTTATCGAAAATAAAACTTTAAACTAAAAATTATATCTTAAAATTCTATCCAAATAGAAATTTAAACTGACTTTTTTATCTTATGAAATCTATTTAAATCTATCCAACGTGGCGCGAAACTTGGCAAAAAGTTGGAATATATATATATGTATATATATATATATATATATTAAAAAATATTTTTTTTTCACCACCTATCGTCAAAAAATCTGGTAAATCTAATGGAATTTTTTTTATTCTTCTATTTTCGTGCCAAAAACATAATCTTTAGAGGTTTAAGGGGCATTTTGGCCCCATGGATCCAATTTAAGGTCAAAATTGAAAAAAAATATTCGTAAATAGCTCACAGTGAATTCAGATTAACACAATATACTAAGGGCCTGTTCTCATTGAGTGAACTGAGCTGAACTGAACTGAACTGAACTGAACTGAGCTGAACTGAACTGAACTGAACTGAACTGAAATGAATATTTTATAAGAGAAGGAAATTAGGAGCTGAAGTGAATTGAACTGAGCTGAACTGAACTGAGCTGAGCTGAACTGAACTGAACTGAATTGAACTAAATTGCAACGTAAGAGAACAGACCCTAAAAGTGAATATACTGTTGTGGGTGACTTAACTAAAATGAATAAGTAGTTAGAAGAATATTGATATGAGTAACTTTGAAAATTGAGCAAATTACGATTAATTAGTTGAAATAGAAAAATATAAAGCAAATAAGAATATGTACATCACCGTACCAACAAATGGAAAATTTGTAATATGGATTTTTTCCCCCCTTAGGATTTCTAGAAATTAAGAGTATTAAATTAATTATAAAATGTATTATTATTTATCACCTTTACACTAGTTGGCTAGTTGATTGTGCCACTTTATAGCAATGCAAAGATATATCATCCAAAAAACAATTTTAAGGGATTCCTCCTCCATCCATGTACCATAACTAAGATATTTGGTCCCATTTCAACAAAATCTCTCCACTATGCCAATTCCACTTACACTATATATGAGTAATTTCAAAGTCAAAAGAATCTCATATAAGAAGATACATTAATATACAAAAAGAAAGGAAAAAAAAAATCATATGCAATGTTTTTCAAGTCATAAAGGCTACTATGTACTAGAACTCAAAGGAAAAAAAAAAGAGGGGACATGATTTATTATCATATTGTTATATTATAAGGTCCATATATAATTATGGCCCACGACATTGTCACAACTTCTCTTGCTGATCAAACCATGAAAATTAAAACTATGGACTTGAAAAAAAAAAAAAAAAAAAAAAAAGAAAAGGTTGTTTACCTACCTCAAGCTAATTGATTCTTGTCTTATAATTAATTAATTCTAACCTTCTACAAACTAATTAATTAAATCACTTGATCATGCTATGGTTGGCGCTATAATATATTTTAAAATCTTTTACATCTAACTTACTTTGCATTACTTATCGAATGTCTTGTGATTAGCAAAAAAAAAAAAAAAAAAAAAAAAAAATAAGTAGATTATGTGATAGTGACACAAATTTACTGAAAACGCTAATAAAAATAATTTCTTCATCGAGTGAAAATTACCTATGAAGACAGTGTAACATGTTAGTTGTTTCGCCTTACTTATCAAATTATTATAGTACTATATATTAAAGTATTACAAAAAATTTTGTCCACTACTAGAAAGTGATTATTGCTGGTTTAATTAGATGATGAAATCAGGAAAACTCCACTAATATAACGTGTAAAAATGTCATTTTCTTTGAATGGGAGCAACCACTGTGCATTGGTGCAGCAGGAGAAACTTGTTATAGTGCCATGATTCACGATCCTCATTTTTTCTTTAATTTTTTAAGGAAATAAATTATTATATAATCCCTCAATTATATAATTAATATTGGTGGTCCAATCAATGAAATATTTATACGCATGCATGGTGACAAAAAAGAAAGAAATAGAGGGTTTCAATGTTGAAAATACGTTGTATGTGATGTTAGAAAAGTTGAGGATTGTCAAATTTAATATCATAACCGGGAATTATAGGTTAATGAGGATTTTTAGATTATATATACAAGGACCATCATTAAATTAATTATAAGGATTAGTTTGTTCAAGTTTTGGGAGATTAATGATTTATAGGTGCAATATATTGGTGCTATATTTTTCAAAAAAAAAAAAAAAATATTTGTGCTATATGTATTGTGAAAGTAGTGATTACGTACGTTACGCTACTAATTAAAAGTATTGTATGGTTAAATTGTTACTATAGTTAATAATCAATAACAATACATGTTGCTATGAATATATGGAAGTGGTTTAAATAGGCATATATGAGCTGACCTAATATTATCATAGTTGTCTTACATAGTGAATGATAATTAGATTAGTTGGTTAATTCTACGATCAAATCACGTCTATCTTCTGGTCCCTTATCCTTTGTAAAGCCAAAAAACAAAGTATCATACCTATGGAAATTGCACAACCAAGATTAATTGTTAGGGTGAAATGACATCCATGGAATTTCCACAAAATGCCATATATATTTTGTTTTAGGCCGGACTTGCAAATGTAAGTTAATTCAAGCATTAGATTGGTGAAACTAGGTTCTAGGGTCTAGTGGAAGGAAAAATTAATTTGCCCTACCAAATTTTCCATCTAAAGTTGAATAAATGTCCAAATATCAAGTTGCTTCCTTATATGAAAGAAATTATTAAGGATACTTCAAAAGAAAGACGAAACAAAGTGACGAAAAAGGGTTACCCTAATAGTTAAAATGCATTTATTAATCAGGGATATTAAATCTGATCTCATCCTGTTATTTAAAAATCTCTATATTTTGTGAGAGAAAAATAAAACAAAAAGATAGTTAGATCAAAATAGGAATTAGAACAAAGAAGATTGTAGGAAATATATCATCATATAGTACTTATACTAGTATTGAATTCTACATTTCTACTAGTCAAAAACTTTGTACATACATTCAATCACTTAATCAATCCTTATTCCATCTATTCTAAATTTAAGGATAAAGATACATACATGTAACATTTAAGATCACATATAAACATTAAATACATTTTCTAAAATAATATTTTGTACAAACTTGAGAATTTTCAACATGAACATATATATATATATATATATATATTCTTATTTTTACAGTAATATTTTCTCTTTTTAAAGAATATTATATATAACCCTTTAGACTACAAATCCTAATTTAAATTGTTATATCCTCATCACATGATAAATTGAAGAATTTTGGTCATCCATCCTTGAGGAAATTCAGGGGTGGCAATTAATCAATAGAAAGTACAAACACATGGGACAACTTAAATGAAGGAAGTTTAGGTACAACGGCATGAATTAAATTTTTATACCATAGATTACTCATATCATAAAATAGTTTATAATAAAATATAATAACCAGAGAAATAACTCACAACTACATGAAAAAAGTAGGGCTACCTACCAAATCCAGCACTAACTTAATTGCAAACCAATAGTCCTCTTTTTTCTCTACCAACTCAGTCAAAATTACATACTCTCCATTATATATATTTATTTATATATCATATATTATATGGTTGGATTAATGTTAAGTCAATTGACCCACCACAAATATTTTTCCTATACACCATTCATCCCTTACCCAACATTTATATTCTCTTAAAACACCCTTTATTCTCTATCTCTAGAAACTCACTAGAAAAGATAGGGTTATTAGTACTTAATTAGAAGAAAAAACTAGCTTAATTAGTTAGAGAAGGAAGAAAATATGGGTAGATCTCCATGTTGTGAGAAAGAACACACGAACAAAGGTGCATGGACTAAGGAAGAAGATGAGCGTCTCATGAATTATATCAAAGCTAATGGTGAAGGTTGTTGGAGGTCACTTCCGAAAGCTGCTGGTAAATAAATCATCTAATCATTCTACACGTTTTTAATTTACTTGCAACTAAGGAAGCTTGGTGTGGTTGGTAGGAGCTTTATTGTTCACAACCTTAAAAATCATAGTATCGGATAGGCTTAATTTAACTCCCATTAGTTACGGTTTTGAAGTCATAGGATACGTTGAGCCATCAAAAGTTGAACTGAGTTGACCTATGTAAAAGATCAAGTCTAGTTTTGTACATAGTTCATCTACGTATGTACCTAGCTACCATAGAGCATGATATATATGGAATTGTGCTCTATGATCTATCAACTATCATACATGCATCTTTAGTGGTTAGAGTTCCCTCCCGATTTCAGGAGATATGGAGATCTTATCTCATCCCGCCCTTTATGGCTCTTTAAAAAAAAAAAAAAAAAAAAAAAAAAACTATCATACATGCATCTTTAGTGGTCTTTCTTTTCTCTATATTCCTTGTTTTTGATATAGGTGGAAATTTCTAGCTTGTGTGTATGATCATATATCAAGCTCTACAAACTTTAAATCAACTTCCCTTTTTTTTTTCTTTTTCTTTTTCTTTTTCTTTTTTGGAGATCAATATATAGAAAGATGTTAGTCTCCATACAAAAAATTATTTTTAAATCTCAATTTAAAGTTATATTGGTGGTATCAAAATTACAATATTATTGACAACATACATGCAAGAGATATGATTATAATTTACGTACGTTTGCACTCCTCTTATTTTAGAACTTCCATTAAAGACCGCTGATAGTGCTTTCACAAAAATTATGAAAAGGTGTAAACGATGAACAAATGGAGTGTTTTTTTTTTTTTTTTAATAGAAAAGGTAAGTAAATAAACATTAGAAAGTCTTACTGAAGTAAAGTTATTAGTTGCTTATTTTCTAGTAAAAAAGAAATTCGTATTTCCCTAGATAGTAGATACTTAGAGTTGTAAGAGTGTTTATGAGTAATTAAGCAAGGCTTATTCTTGAATAATATTTTAATTTTTAACAAATTATGATCAGTGAGGTTTTCTTTTTACACTAATGGTAACAATTTTATATTTTGAACTAATTTGAAGGGAACTAATCCATTACATAATAACAAATTAATAATGATGGCAAATTTTATAGAAATTAGCCTTCTTAATGCTACTAAAAAAAATATGCTACTAAAAAAAATTATGCTACTAAATAATTTGAACAAATTTTGAAACCCTCTTAGTACAAGTGTATTTGTACGATACTAACGTTCTTTTTTTAAAACAATTTTTCAGGTTTACAAAGATGTGGAAAGAGTTGTCGATTAAGATGGATAAACTATCTTAGACCAGATCTTAAGAGAGGAAATTTCACTGAAGAAGAAGATGAACTCATAATTAACCTTCATAGCTTGCTTGGGAACAAGTAAGTTTTGCATTTTCTTTCCCTACAATTTCATTTAAAAAATAAAATTAAAAAATTCCAATCCTATTATTCAATATTCAACCTTTAAACGGTCTTTTATACATAAATTAAGTACTTTGTATTATTTTAAATTTGTAGCTACATCACTTAAAAAAAAAAAAAAAAAAAAAAAAAAAAAAAAAAAAAAAACGAAGTAAATAAATTTGTAAAGAACAGTCTAAACAATAATAAAATAATAATTATTTTAATAAATTAAAATAAATGTTGAATTATCGCTAGAAGGAGGGGTCGAACCTCCGACCTTGTGGTTAACAGCCACACGCTCTAACCAACTGAGCTATTCCAGCTTGCTTGTTATAATTTATTCCTAAAACTTATTTATATCTTATACTTTTTGTGTGTTGAATTTCAGGTGGTCTTTAATTGCTGCAAAATTACCAGGAAGAACAGATAATGAGATCAAGAACTATTGGAACACCCACATCAAAAGAAAGCTTCTAAATCGCGGAATCGACCCACAAACTCACCGTACACTTAATTCCACCACTACGACTACAGCCGCCACAGCCAACAACAATACCAACACAGGTCCTACAACAAAGAACGTTGTAAGCAATAATAATTGCTACAACAAAAATAAGATGAATAACAACAATAGTTTCCAATTGATCAATGTACAAGGTTCAACGTTACATTTTGGCCTAGGATCAAATCTCGAGTACGAGTTTACAACAAGTAGTAACGATGGAAAATACTATTGCACTACTTTTCCTATTAGTAGAACGTTCAACAATGTTAGTGAACATTCTAATAATAGTAGTAGTAAGAGTGTTGTGACCATGGAAGAAGGTTACAAAGAAATTAACCTCGAATTATCGATTAGCCTTCCTACCACCCCCAAGATTAATTCGGCTAGTCATGAAATCACGACGAGCCAACAACAACGACAACAACAATACACGACAACGTATCAAGTTATTGGGACGGCCACCAGTATGCCCGTTTTTACTAAAAAAGGAAGTGTATGTTTGTGTTACAATTTAGGGTTTCAAAATAAAGGTAACCAACAGTGTCACTGTGCTATGACAATTGGCTACTACAACTGCAACAGCAGCAATGTGTAATAGTGGTCAAATATGAATCAACTTCAAGAATTATTACACAAACTTAAGAACTTTTTATTACTTCATCTATGATAATGTGGCTTAAGTACTATTTAACTTAAGTTGCCAAATTAGGGTGGCTTACCCTAGATTTTTTTTTCATGTTATATTAGATATTGTAATCTCAATTAATTAGTTTAATTTAGTTGGTAAAATTATTAATTGTTGTTACTCGTAACACTTTTTTAAAATAGTTTAGTTTTGATAAAATTTTGAATATTGTTACTCGTAACATTTTTTTTTCTTAAAAAAAAGAAGAAAGTATCCAACAGTCTCCGAATATAACTTCCTTGTATACGTCATTAGAGAGAAATAGAGAATAAACAAATCATGAGTAGACTATCACAATATAGTCATACTCATGCATTTAGGTCATCAATTTAATTTCCTTCTTTGCCTTCAATCTAGAAAAAGTAAAGAGGACTTGTTAGGTGGATATCTAATGTTGTATAAATTATATTTTCCCTTATAACTTAGTTGGTAAAATTTTTATATATGTGGAAATTTATCTAGTCTAGTTAAAAGTGTGTATTATATAGTCGTTTTACGTGGGTGTTAATCATCAAATTGTCTAGATATCTACTTGTAATACTTTAGTTTCTAGATGCTCTTATAAAAAAAAAATCCCTAACTAGTATACCTTTCTTCATTTGAAAAATCTTTATAAGTAGGTAGTATGTGAAGATGTTAGTGATGGTATATTTTCCTTCCTTTACCTAACTATATGAGTCAAGCTTGCATGTCGTCTTACCAAATCCTAGATTGTCCCTTTAAAAAGTACTCCAATTTTATTGAAGCATTTTTCAAATCTTTGTAACTTTAGATTATGACATGATATAGTTTATTTCATTTTGTTTAAAAATAATTTTTGTATTAGTTATATCATTTGTTTCATGTACCTAGCGTTATAATTTAATTTAATAATGACATCCATAATACTATTCTTATATAACATATACTAGTATCACTTAATTAAGTAGTGGCAGATGAGAAATTAATTTAACTAATCAAAGATATTAAAATAGTTTTTGTAACTTGTAATTCTGAACAATAATGCATGAGAATTCTATTTAAAACACGTGACAAAATTCGTTCTTGTAAAAAAAAATGTAATTATTAATTAAATGTTTGTATTATGACTCTTAGATCTAGATTTAACTTGTGAAATGCTCCCATGCATGAAAACACGTTAAGATGCCTTGCATGTGTTAATTTTTTCTCAATCAACCTACCAATACTACAATATAATCTTGTAAAGTGAACCAATATACAAGTTTAAGTGTTTAACAATGATATTAGTTGTTAGAAGGGATATTATTTTAAGAATATCCTCAAATCTAGTTATAAATTATAGTTTGGGAGTATAAGGATCTACTTTAGTATGTAAATAATAAATCAATATTATCTCCTTATGCCTTTTTCTTGGATATATTATTAGTAAATCAAATAAAACCAGCTTATTAATCATCGTGTTAGATATTTACTCACATCTATATCATAATTAATGTCATTATTTTTTTGGTGTTTAGAAAGTCACAAGAACAAGTGATGATAATCAATCTCATTATCTCCTAAAATAAGGAGGGAAGCTAACTGTAACCACTTTATAATAAATTTTATAATAAAGTTCTCAGACGAAACCTAATATGCTAGATATTGAGTATAAAAATAAAAGTTTTCATTTTGATAATAAGAGGTCACAATGTCACACCAATATGTACTCCATAATAAAGATTGATGATGATAAACAAACGGTAAAAAGTGCGTGCAATCTTCTACTCATTTTATACCTCAACTAATTAACGTGGTTATGACTAGCATTAGCTTACTTATCATATCATGATTATTACCTAACTAAAAAATAATGAGGAAAAATATAACAACTCTTCAAGATTACTCCTCAATTAAAATTAAGGCATAGATAATTAGATATAAATATATAATTAATTAGCAAATATACCAGAAATGTTTATTGGTAGGTCAGTCTTTTAGACATTGATATTTTGTAATATTGTATTGAAAGAACCAATACACAATCAAGCAAATATAACGCCTGCTTCTGCTGTTGGGTAGGTAGAACACGTCAACATAGACAACCACCTTCATGCATCTTCTCATATAACTCATAAATTCTTGGCTTAATTATATCATTATATAATTTTTTATGCACATTACATACATAATTTCCCACTATTTTTAATTTTAGAGTATAGTATTGATTGCAATTTTATGTATAGTGCGTAGTGATAAGTACATCACAAATTAAAACATATCACATCTTGATATATGCTAGCATATCTACCGATATATATTATTTAAAATGTTTTTATAGAGAGTTTAACGCTCAAATTTTACACTCAAAATGAAAATGAGAGAGGTTTGTAAAAAATAAACATATATGTAGATCACCATTGATTCTTTGTATTATATTAAATATATACAATATAAACATTATATTTGATCATCAATGTTCAGCAAATTTGAGTTGATTTTACAATTGTACAATATATACCAATAGTAATTAAATTAATCGTCAAACAATAATGTTTTTTTTTTTTTTTTTTTTTTTTTTTTTTTTTGTTGACACAACAATAATGTTTCTAATTATCCTTAGATATGTTAAATTGGAAGACCTTTTCTTTTATTTTTTATTTTTTAAAAAAAATGCAAGATTTGATTTCTCCTATGAAAGAACATAGAATATCTATTAATAGCATATTAATTATTTGATATCTAATCTTAATTGTATACTATTGAAGAGTAGATGAATAGCACCTACTTTACCTACCAAACACTACTACTACAAAGTATTTCGGTAGATAGGTCTTCTAGAGGAAATGAAATGGAGTGAGGAATATAAATATTTATTTATAGCATAAACTTTAATTTATTTGCCGTTCTTCTAGAAGGGAACATGTGCTCCTTTACCTAATAAAAGAATTATTGTATTTTTGAAATCCTTTTCATTTTCGTAGGTACTTGGACTTTTTAATTTGTTTATATTATTTCTAAGGAGTTTAGATTTGAAGTTTATTTGTGTGTAACTATCATTCAATATTCAAAAGATATATTAGTAAGGGTTCTTCAAAAAGAAAAAGATATTAGTAAGGGGAAAAGGAAGCTTTCAATTTAGTTAAAAAGAGTAACTTACTTTTAAGTTTTAACTAGTTTTCTCTCTTTGGTAATACCTAACCTATAGCTTTTTCTTTTCTTTCTTTTTTTACTTGTATGTTTTTTTTTCACTCCACAAGAATTACCTAAGTTCTTTTCTATAAAGAATTTACTAATTTACCCTTTTAAGGTAATTAGATCACTATACATACTTCGTATTAATAGTAATTATATTGATTTTGTTCTTGGGATTTCAATTATATTTCATTTTACATGTCTAATTCGAGCTATGTTGTGAGAGTTATTTCTATTACTTTGATTCTAAATTGGATGAACAGCATACAGGTATTAAAAAATCTTGAGTTACATTTGATTTTTTTTAACCATTTTTAAATTGTTTTTGGATATAAAACTCCAACTAGAAAACCTTATTTTAGGGCTAACACCCAAGACTCAACAATATCACATAACATTAACTCTTTCTCCTACCCCAAATACCTATGGTGAGGATCGGTGAGTAGATACCAATATACCATCAAGCTACTCCCTTAGCCCCTCAATGACCTAATGCGTTATTCTATCGATAAATTAAGAGTGAACATAGCATATGAAAATATTAATTTGTGTGATTTAAATAATTTTTAAAAAACTAGTACTTCACTCATGTTTCTAAATTAATTTTTTTTTTTTTTACTTTTTGTTTAAATTGACTCAAATATTTTCGTATTTTTGCTTTATTCCTATTTTGTTTAAAATAATCTGTCATTATTACAAGCCAAGAAGCACTTACTCTTACCATACCTTAAAGCACAAGCTATATATGATAATAATAACTCTATTTGTAGAAACCAAACACCCTATACTCTTAATGTTGTGAACCTTAATTTACTATCCTTTACACCACTCTCACCTAATCATAAGGTACAAAAAAAACCAAGAAATTTTCAAATATAGAATAAATGATATTATCTTCAACAATAATATAGGAGAAGAAAGTCACTCTTGATATAGATAAAGGTGCAATAATCAATCATATAACTAATATATAAAGCTAAACTTTTAGCCAGGGCACGAGACAGCGACACTTGGCATTCCAACTTTTCGTCAAGTGTCGTGCCACGTTGGATGTATTTAGATAGACTTCATAAGATAAATTAATTAGTTTCAATCAATTTTGGATAAAATTTTAGAATAAAATTGTTAGTTGAGAGTTTTATTTTTGATAAAATACCAATATTTCATAGGTATAAATTGAATTATAATTTTATTCAAAAAAAAAAAATATTAGATTATAACTCTAAAATATTTCATATGTATAAATTGAATTATAATTTTATGTAAAAAATATTAAATTATAACTCTAACAAAAATACCAATATTTTTTTTTCGGTGTTTAGAGAGCCCATAAGGACAAGGGTGAGAATTGATCCCAAGACCTCCTAGAATCGGGAGGGAAGCTCTAACCACTTGAGCTATCCCTTACTCTCATAAAATACCAATATTATTATTAGTCATTTACATGCCTACTACATAGTTTAAATCGTTACAAAATCCCATCAATTCCTAACTAATTTCACATTAAAGATATATTTTGAAATTTGACAATAGATTAAAAATTTATTTCAAAATTTAAAAAACAACCGGCCATCGCACGGGGCACAAAACTAGTATTGTTAATAAAATGTTAGAAACTCTTAAGACAATAACATTTCAACATCACTTTTAGTATAATTTTCTATTTCTTAGTTCTTAATTTGTGGAAGAATTTAAGATTTGAAATTTGACTATATGAAACATTATGATGTAACGTTGATTTATGGTAATAGAGTGAGGGATATTCAATTGGTTAAAGCTTTCCTCTCGATTGCAAATATTCTTGGATTGATTCTCATCACCCTATGGCTCTCTAAACTCATAAAACAAAACACACACAAAAAAAAAAAAAAAAAAAAAAAAAAAAAAAAAAAAGTGAAAAAGGTGCTATTTTGCAAAATTTTAATCTCATGTTGAATTAACGTATGAGTCTTTTAAAGATGTCACGATGTGACCAGTCATCGAGTAAATAGAGTTTGAGATGTCAAATCTTTGAAAATCTGATCATAAAAGAGGCACTTAGGATAAAAATGTTAATAATTTGATGTAATACATACATGGACTTGTTACTCTCAAGTAGCTTATATATTGACCGTTCAAGCTATTAATGCTACTATAAAGTTTTGGAGAATAATTGTCCAAGTCCAATAATTTGAGCCCAACAAATTTGAAATTGAGAGCTGTACAATTTCTGCATGCATGTAAAAATTGTTGATTATTGAGGTAATTATGTGAAAAAGATCGATAACTAACCTATCTATTAATGTCAACTACATAGGGACAAGATTATAAGAGCAAAAGATCATATTTCTTATAAAAGGATTATGAAAACATAGATAGTCTAAAACTCAATTATTGATCTGAGTTTAGCTTAACTTGGTTGCATGCTTGCATCCACTAGAGACGATGATACTTGTGAGTTGCGACCATCGAGTCAAATTTGAGTTTAGGGTTAGATATGACTGAAATTGATATTAACAGCCTTTCAAGTCGAGCTAAATCCTAAAATCCTACCCAATTCAATAAAATCTCATGTCAAGTTTGCACAGTAAACTTCAGGATTCATTATGAGTACCAAATATGAATACTTTTTCGTCGAAAATTGTCATATTGTCTTAACATCTCATTCCTAAGTATATAGCATACTTGTATTTTACATATATAACCTTCATATACCTCCACGGCTCCACTAATCACTTACATAAAGCTTGTGGAAATTGATCATAAACCATTATAATTTGAACATTACCCCTTCTGGACATTCTAAAATAGTAAATGCGGTTATTAATTTTGGGCAATGCGACTCCTAGTATCTCATGTTGTATTTCAAAATTTGAATTCCTATTTCCTAAATAACAACCTTGAAACATCATAATTAAATGAAAAACCAATTAACTGTTTAAATGAAGGGAATACAGAGCTGAAAGCATCAACACATAAGTCCAGATAAAAGTAAAATAAAACTTTTGAAGAAGAAAGATTACACAACTATTTCAGAATCAGCAGCAGACATTGCTGATCCTCGACACTCCCCTCCCAAACCGAAATTGTTTTTAATACTCTGCATCATGTATGGGAACCTCTAGTAGGTCGGCAAACATGATTACGCTTACGTGCATGATCTACACTGTGATGTTGCGTGCGACAAGCATGGCCATACCAACAGTCTTGCCTGCTTGATGCCTCCGGCGGTAGAAGCTATAAAATAAACAAGGAAAGCAATAATGAATGACAAGATTTAAAGGAGAAACATGTAAGTGCAGAAAGAATGAGAAGAATAAGAACAAGCACTAATGGCAAATTCAAAGCATGGTAGAAGATTCACGAATCATGGGTAACAAATTGTTAATTACAATAACAGTTTACATTAACAGTTCCTCAATCTATCTCAAAATAATTTATACATAATATCATATGACTTTTGAAATCAAATCTTGTCAACTATAAGGTCTATAACTATTAAATTTTACTGATGTATCAATAATAAAAAGCTACATAGTTACAAAAATTCAAAAATCAATTACTAAATAGGCATTTTAAAGCTTAAACATAGCTAGGGCTACAACCTACTAACTTGGTCGGGGTCAAACAACGCTTGGGCAATGCCTGTTTATTGAGTAAAGAAAACAAGATAATTTAGCAAATGAGCCAAACTTGGACAATTTTTTGTCCAACTTACTAATGTTTGCAAATTCTGTATGAAAACTGTTTTGTATTAAGTCGGTTCAAATAGGTTAAACCTTGGTTCATTTGCAGCCCTAAAGGCCTAAACATAATATTTCAACAGCAAGCTTTGCCCATTACAGAGCACAATTTGGAATATAACTGAGGCCTTTAGAGAGAGCTGTACAATCTAAGTAAGCATACTTATTTTGAGACCAGTAACTATAAACAAGACGTGAAAGCCTATTGCTTTAACTTGCACAATCTGGTGGTTATACCAGGACAGTAAATCAAGCAGATAACAAACATGTATAAGAGCCTACAATTACAAAACATTGGCAGCCTTTATTTTAAACCTTGAAGTCTGTTACTACCAAACAAGAATAATGAAAGAATGGCAGAAGTGCTTACATGGACAGGCAATGAAATCCGGAACCAGTAAAGAAGAAATGAAACCAGTGTGTTGTAACAATCACTGCACAAAATAGGACCAAGACACAGCAAAGAATTTTAGGAAAACAACTATGAAATGCTAAGCGTAGAATTATGGATTGTGTCAAGTCAACCTGAGTTCTTCAAGTCAAATAGTACATGATATAACATTGTAACCCTTATTATAATAAAACATCAAAGCAACTTACCTGCAGACGTAAGTGCCAGCAGTTATCATCTCAGGATGCTTCAAATGCAATCTTGAACGATCTGTGGGACACACATAAAAATTGCAGGTTCAGGGCTGCGTGCTCATTATGCAAATTGTTGAGAAAAGAAATTGCGTGCTAAAAAACTCCCAAAAACATAATCAAAGATATATGAGACTATGGGAAGCAAATAAAAGTTACTGGGATTATGTTCCTAAACCAAACACAGAAAGTGCACACCAAGTGACATCTTTGCAGATAATTAAAATCAGGGAAGATCACACACAGAATGACAGAATAGAGCAAGTAAAATGAAATTCAAGACATTCGTGAGCTTAGAGTACCTAGAAGGTCCATTTCTGCGCTTTTTCTAAAATAAAAAAATATGACAAGGATTCCAGAAATTTGACCACAACCACATCATTTTTCAAGGATAAATAACATCACCTTTTATGTATGACACACAGTATTAAAAAAAAAGGGAAAAAAAATTGAATTTTTTTAAAAATAACACAGCATTACCAATTTCTTGGTTGTCCAATTTTGTAATCCATTCGGCAATCACTTCTTGTAGTGTTGTACCCATCTGTCTTATGCACCTATTAGTGATCTACAAAAAGACTCCATAAGGTAAAAGAACAAAAAAAATCAGAAGAGTTTAAAAGCATCCACTTTATTAAATACACACATCTTGCTCAAATTCATTCCTTTCATGCGCTGTGGATGGGATATTAAACACTCTGTGCTCGGAGATCTGAAATAAAAAAAGTAATATTAATAAAACAAATAGCACCAGTAGATATTAGGCAATGAGAAGAAGCAACTACAAAAAGTCAAAGGACGACCAGGAATACATCTAATGACAGGAAGAAAGTTTGATATCTGTTTCCTGTTTTCATATCATTTAAACAAAAACTCCGAGAAAGCTACTGCACCATAGGTGTGATATCTGATTTCATATCAAGAATCGAGGAAAACAACTATATCCCATTTTACTCGGACTCGGGTACTCAGAACGGACACAAGTGTATGTCCAAGTGTCAGACTCGGCTATTTTGTGAAAAATGTTCCATGATTTTAGCCAAAATGAAGTGTTTAATGTTTCACCCATGTCAGAGTGTTGAGGATCTAACACACGTACTTGAGGTGAAAACAAAAGTTCAAGTAACATTGAATGTATTCTAAGAGAAGACAAGCAAACAAATTGAGCAGGTCCGGTGCACCCTTATGTTCTTTTAGTGTGTGCTCCTAAAACAGTGAATAGTACTTAAAGATGCACCAAAAGAGAGCTTAGAAAGTTCAAGAGCACACATATAAGCTCAGACAGACTGCCAAAGGGAAATGGCCTACTAAACAGGAGAAGGTGATTATCAGTCTCACAAATGGCAAGAAAAACTACGCACATCGAGAAAGATAGATTGTTTGTTTCCGCGAGGATCCCAACAATTCGCAGCCCCATCCTTGCCCCAAGAAATAATGTTTTATTAGTGTGCCCCTTTGCAGAGAAGATATGGTAAAGGCTGCAGATTGTTTTGAAGAACAGCTGTCATTAGTATTCACTATGGAATCTTACTGGCAAAGCTATACAGCAGAAGCCTTGAACTTAACCCTTATCAATGTATTAGATCTCTAAACAACACTTGCTGCAGGAGGAAGCATGGAAGTGGAGCTGTTCCCAAGTGTCTCAAACAGCTACAAGAGAAAATACTTCTTTATTTAGGTGATCAGCAAAAACCCCAAGCAAATATGAATTTTCAAATCACCCAATCCTGGTCTCTAAGGATTCCCTCAATGAATTAAAGTTTCAAGGAGCACCTCCTCACAGAAAGTCCAACATTAGAAGCATAAATATAAAAAGGAATAGATGGAAAGCTGCTTCCTTGAAAGTAACTATATCAAATTGTCATCAACTAGAGTAGAAGCATATGTGGCTAAAATTCTAAAAGAGATTTACTACAGAAAGTTTGTGCTATTCCTAAGCCTATACCAATTGGAGTCATGTTCAACAGAAACTAACACACCTATTTTATATATCACATACACTGATTTAAAACATGAACATTCCACAACTTCATTAGCAAAAGAAGTCCCAACACACAAAGATGCTTCCCCATGACATGAAGATAGAGGAATCTAATGTTTGAGATTCAGCTAAAATTACATAAAAAGGAAGAAACCAAGGACTGACATGCGATTTTTCAAAAATTCATGGAAGCCTCAACTGTGTTATTTAACGTTGCAAATACAGCCCAACCCCCCACCCCCGCGCCCGACTTCCAAATCACTTGAAAGGCTAATGTTCTTCTAAAGGTGAGAGATGGCCGCTGGAGCTGGATAGGATTATTAAGACAAATTATATGCTCCAAAAGCAGTGATCCATTGGCTATTTTCCATGGCATCTGTATATTTTCAATGATGAACCCTGCTCGGATGTCTATATTCAATTGCAGATGATACATACTCTTTGGGCAAATCTATTTTCTTTCCAGATAAGCTATTTGCTTTGCCTAGATACAAATCCACTTTATAGGGATAAATGGCTAGAGAAGAATTCACATTTTAAAAAGCAACCTCACCACGCAATTTTCTGAAGGATATATTAAGATGAGAAAATTTGAAACTCCCCACCTACATAAACCTACTTTCACTTAATCGGATGATAGTGCTATGAGCGTCCTAGAGACGCCCACGATTGCTGGATACCAAAACAAACTTTGCTCAGAGGCTCTTAAAATTGTAACAACACATTAAGATAATCAAACAAAAGACACATCAATATGTATAAAATGATTTCAGAGCAGGATACATTAAATGATTCTAAATTCACCAATATAGAGCACAAGACACAATTGATACATGTAGCCAAAGGAAAGTACAAAGCCAATTTAAAACATACAGGTCTGAAAGTTTCAAGTTGGCAGATGGGGTGACGATCTGTCCTAGTAACTCCCTGAGCGTGCCAATAAGCACCGCAATATGTTCTATCGCAACCACAACCTACAAAAAATTTAGCAACTAGAAATTGGGATCATATTTTTAAAACCAAGTTGTCAGCAACGACTTCACAACTACATAATACGGGAAATGAAGATTTCAATTGACAGAATCAAGACTAGTTCCAACAGTAGTACTAATTTACAGAACGTCAAACTTAATATAGCTTTGTTTTCATTTTAATGAACTGGTGTAACTACAATTCAGAAAAACATTACTTTCTAACACTACCACCCATGGTTTATAGCTGTTGCAGCCAAATATCTTGGTTGCAATAAGCTCCAAAGAGATAAAAGGCTTTGAGGTATACAGATATACATCCAAAAAGGGATTAGGTTGCATGCTTAAGCAGAATGATAAGGTTATTGTGTATGCATCTTGACAATTGAAGCAAGAGGATTGATCCACCCAAATCAGAACTTGGAGCTGGAGCAGCCCACAGCTACACAGTAGTATTTACCTCAAGATAAAGCAATATCACCTCAATAGGGCAACATTAAGATTAATAGACCACAACTCCACATGAGTCTCAGATACATCCTCACTCAAGGAACTACTTATGAAATGGAGATCCAATACCAAAGAGAAAAAGCCGATGCAGTCACAGATGCATTGAGTAAAATGTCTAGGCAATGCAGTGAAGAAATTTCAAGAAGCTTGGTGGCTTAGCCTTGAAATTATAGCTTATGGTCAAGTCCAGTCTTGGTATAACTATTCACATATTATGATTCCATTAACATTTATAGGGATCAAAAGAAATCAACCTCAATTACTCATAATGATTGAACATATTCACCAATATAATATTTATAAAATATTCAATGTTTCAAGATTCTTGAGAAAGCTAATGCTGATAATATTAATGACCCATTTGGTAAGTGGTAATAAATGGTGGTCATGGGAATGAATTTGCATAAATCTGTAAAAAAAAAAAAAAATCAATCTTTATTCCCTAGACAATGCCAGTTCATCCCAAATAATCTCCTCCCTCACAAATTTTCAGTTTTCATCACCATCCAAAATGACTTAGGGGGTGGAATTGAGTGGTAATAGACTTTTAGTCTTTTATTAAGAAAAACACAAGTTAGGTAATGAGATTGCATTATAATGGAAATTAAGATGTTGCTTTGCTTTTCAAATCATCACTTAATTTCATTTACATTACCGCTCCAAATAAGTCGTAAGGCCTTTGCAGCCGTCATTATCAACTAAATAATAAAGTAGATCAAATAAAGCGAGAGTTATAAGAAATTACAATGTTGTGGAATGCTAATATTAGATCTTGATGGCATCATCCCACCACATGCATGGCATTGCAAATGGGCACTATTCTCAGTGCAACGGAAACCTCCAGATTGAGTTCCTGTAGTAAAACAGAAGTTGCACGCATTAGATAAGGGGAAAATAGGAATAAAAGATTGTACAAAAGATAAATTGCCAAATGAAACCCGCAATGTAAAGCATTTACTGGATCCTTAAATACATCATCATAGTGGATGAAACTTCTGATTAAATTAATTATTTTTTATGTAATCCAATTAGAAATGCAGATATTTCCACTACACAAGATCAAAGCCACCGCCATTTTTTACTATAAAAATGAAAATACCAAATAAAAGTTGAACAAAAATCATGTGGGGGACAATTGGTGATTAGTTGGAACTGCATAAAATTTTATTTTCATTCAAAAAACCAATTCCCTACTTTCACATTCTCCTCAATATTTGAACTGGAGTTCTTCTAACAGTTTGTATAAGGTTTGTAACATCGAAATTGATATTGTATATAGTGCGAATCTGAGTTCTGAAGATTGAAATACATAAAGAAGGACGGAAAGAGTATAATTGGTCTCAAAAATTAATTTCCTTTCTTCAATTCCTATCCAGACAAAAACTTTTATACATTAAACTGTATATCGTCAGCTACAACATAGAAGATTTAATAAGTCAAGTTTAGTTGACAGTAAAATTCACTTGCAAGTTAAGAAGATCTGATAATTAAAATAAAATATATTCTGACTCCCAATCATATGAATGACGGTGTAATATTCATTTCCAATTTGCTTCATTGGTATAAGTGATTTTTCAAAACAAAAGAATATTTGTGAAACAAGACTAGAACAAGAAAGAAAAATGCATGACCACATAAAGATGTGGACTTAGCCCATATCTTATAGCTACAAATTTGGAGCATTTTGTTAGCACTGAAAAAAACAATTTATGTAAAGCACTATGAAAGGGAGTAATGATGATAATTCCCTCCATAATTTATAGATCTTCTCATTTGCATTTCAACGATATACAATGCACATCTTTGATTATGAAAATTTGACATTATGATAATATATACTAGGTTAGCACCTGTGCGAAGCACGGGTTTCACAGTAACTTATCTTTGGATTTTTGTTTTCACAGTTTTTTTTTTTTTTTTTTTTTTTTTTTTTTTGAGTTCAAAATGTTGTTCATAAGTTCACTTTAATTATTGACCTCAATTATTATGCTAATAACTTTCCTAAAAAAAAATATTATGCTAATAACGCTTTTTAATCAATATCAATTTTGTTGTTGTAAAAAAAAAAAAAAAAAAACAAACAAACTATGCTAATAACTCCTAAAAAGACTCCAACAACCTAATATCAACATAAATTAGCAAAATAATAGATTCCTAATTTAAATTAATTACCTAAAAAATAGTAATTATCTATTTAAAATTAATAAGCATTTTGTTTCAAAAAAAAAAGCAAAAAAGAATTTGAGCGGGAAAACTTTTCATAAGATAGCGCCACGTATACAACTTTGGAAAAAGATGACATCAGCGATTGCTACTTTAGTATAAGTTATAGATTGGTACAAACCTAAAAAGATCTAACATGAAATTTTATTTTCTTATATCATCAAATACAGGAAAAGTTATCTTACTTTAACCACTAGAATAGTAAGCACAAAGATTTTTAAAGAATTGATGGGAGTATGCCCTTTAGGCATAAAGTTATACTTCCTCCATTTTTTTAATATTGCACCACTTACCTTTTAAGGAAGTTTCACATTTATTGCACCATATCCATTTTAGGAAAAGAAATTTATGTGTTCACACTATAAATACCTAATATACCCTTGCTTTTCAACCCTTACTTTTATTTTGAGCATACAATCACATGGGCAACTTGGTATTTCTACCTTTCTCTCTCATCCTTTTTTCCACTACCAAAAAATTTGTGTCAAACCCTTATGGTGCAATAATAAAAGAACGGAGGAAGTATTAAAAATCAATTAAAAATTTAGGAGCATAAAATAAATTTTACGAGATGTATGGTCAATTATAAATATGTATCAACTGCTTAAACAAGAGTACAATACCACATTGAGGGCATGATAATTCCATTTCTACACGCTCTTCATGAATTGGTGAACGTGCCCTCTTTTGACGATTTCCTTTTCCGTTTGTAATGACCTAAAATGCATAAGCAATCTAATTGGTCTAGGTATAGTAAATGAAGAGACTCTTGACCTCCTTCCTTAACCCCCCAAACCCTCAAATTTTCATAAATTTCATGAAATTCATTAAAAAAAAAGTAATTTTGGGGAAAAATAATCTGGAAACAGGGGGAGAAAATTATGAAGATGCATAAACATGTGCAGAAAACAATAGACACTATTTAAGAAAACTTACACTGAAACAAATCATTTAAATTTTTGAGTTCAATCATCAATTATAATTTGATAACAGGACCGCGATGAAAGGAAGAAGGCTTTGGGGGAGGGGATACTGAGAATATAGAGAACAAGGGAAAATAGAAGGGAAAGCGTCATACTGCCATCAAAACCATTTTCTAATTAGGAGTTAATGAAATGAGCAAGTAGCATAACATTAACGTATAAAAAGAACAGCAGATGAAAGTTTTTTACATCAATCATTTCATTGCATCTCAAAGTATACTCTGTTGTTCTTCGAGATTTCCCATTAAAAAATGTTATAGCACCAAGAAATTAACAAGATCAGGATAAAACATGACATCATGCAACTCTAAATATATTCACAAATAACCAACAACTAAATCAATTTTCAATGAGCGATAAAAAACTCTAGAGCGCCATGATTATGGTCCTTAATATCTTAATCATAGATGCTGAAGTAATCACTCACAAGATTGGACTTGATGGTTGCATAAGAATCTAATATAGCAAGTTCTTCTGTAGAGCGCCGTAATGAAGCATCTGCCTGCAAAATGTCCTACAGAAAAAAGAAGCACGTCACTGAAGCTCGCACCAAAAGCTGCAAGCATTCTGATTTCAAAATTATATAAAGTGATTTCATTCATCAATAATACTTCCTGAGATAGGAAATGTTAGGTCCAAAAACAAGCAAAGTATTCAATATGACAGATTGACAGCTATCATTATCTTCCACAGTTATTACTTAAATGAAGGCTTTCAATACCACTAAAAATCAGATCAAATATTAGTATTGTCAACTTGTAGCCTATTGTTTGCAAACAAATTAAGGCCCTTTCCTATTCACCTTATTTTCACTTATTTTAGAGAGGGGGGGGGGGGGGGGTAGAGGAAAAAAACCATTTCAAACAAATCCAGGTAAGATAAGTAATGGAAAATTAAGTTCTAATAAGGGTTATTAAGGGTAAATCAAGTTCAAATTTCAACTAAATAAGCTATAATAAGTCTAGATAAGATAAGCTCAAATAAATTTAGATAAGATAAGAAAATATCAAGTGAATAGAACACAGCCTAAGAGAGTTTAAGTTAGAGATCAATAAACAAACGTGCTAACATTTAAGCTTAGATAAAGAACAATTGTCTTACACATTGACAACAGTGATGATAAGGCATAAGGCAGAGATGAAAATTCTAGTAGTATATGAGAGTTTATATGTCCAGTGATTGCAATTGCAAGATGGTATCAACAGAAATGCACAACCAGTCTAACTTAACATCTAAACAATAACTCTACAATTTTGGACTGACACATTCATCATATTAATTATGGAATACATAACTAAGATGGGTGAGAACAGAACAAGTTGATAGCTTTACGCTATTTTACATCACTCAACCAGCAATTCAATATTAATCATATTCATTCCAAAAATGGATATTTACACAAAGGAGGAAGAATGTTGTAGCACCTCCTCAATACCATGGAGAAAATGATTTCTTCCAACAAATTGCACAACTGCTCTACACTGGGGGCATAAGACACTTGAATGTTTCTTCTGGCACCTCTTTAACCACTCTGAGAAGCACCCATTGCTGATAACATCAAGAACATATGCAGCAGAAGCTGATTAATCCAAAGCAAATAATCCACTTCTTTTTAACTAAAACTAATTAGGCCAGCCAAAAAAATTGTTAATGAAACTTAAAATTTGACAAACCAGAAATTATGAAGGCAAGGAGCTACTGTCACAACATCATGCCAAACATTCAAGCAAATGCAGCATTTTGTGTGCTCCGAATCTAGAAATATCTGAAGAAAAAAAACCACATTGGCAGACATAGTAAGAAACAAAACTTAAACCTCCAACTAGCCAAAATAGAACAGTTCTCAAACTATTAACATAAACCAACCTTTAACTTATTCTCAAAGCGTTGTTCTTGGACAGGCATCACCTCAAATTTAAAGCTAAGATGCTCTGCATACCAAAAAAAAGGAAATTAATTGAAACCATAAAGTCGTAAACCTCAGAATGTTACCAATTGCTAGTATTTTATATCATGTTTGTATATCTCTGAAAACTCTACATATAGCATATGGAGACCTAGATGCGGTAATGCAGTATAAGGAATAAGTAATGTATAAAAATAAATACATACAAACATATTTAACAATAAAGCAAGCAAGAAGGATGTCTTATGGCTGATAAATTTATTTCTAATTTATTTATTCAATCATGAATTGAATACTATACACAAATTAATACGGTTCTGAGAAGATACAGGCCAGTTGGTTCATCTCTTCAACTGTACAAAACCCCAATGTAAGGACATCTATCCTCCCACTTTTAGCTCCTTACTTATGTCAGTACTAAGTACGAAATCTCACTATTCTTTCCTCAAGTGCACTCATATCAGACACACACACACACACACTCTTATTCTATATGTAGAAAAGAGCTCATATGAGAGCACCTCTCTTATATGAGAATTAATTTAAATTCAAGAATTCATCTAAGCATAAAACTCAATATCTACCGTCAAAATTAGTTCCTTGATGTGTGTCCCTCTTTCTATCTCATTACTCTTAGATCTCTCTAGTTGCACACGTTTCTCTCATCCTTCATACTGATTACAGTGAAACACCACTGGCTACTAGAGTTGTCAGTCTTGTCAGCTACTGTCACAGAAGCTATAGAGCTGATGACAAGAAAAAAAAAAAACTTGTGATGCTGGTAGTTATGATAAGGTGACACTCCCTCTTTCTCTCTCCAAGTCTGAAACCAGGAAAAATAGCTTGCTCTTCTACTACCTGAACCACCCGTCCATCATATTACTCACCAACCAAAATAACCATTCTAAACCCACACCTTATTCCTGAGTTTTGCAACCTAAGCACTCCCTAACATATTAAAAGATAGACTTGCTCTACCATTACAGGATCTAAACCCTTTGTTTTGAGTTACAAAGTATGTAATAGACCTCTAATTAAGAATTTAAGATGCTTGGCTGTAAAGCCTGTGATAAGGAATATGTGACTTATGGGTGTGCTTATAGTCAAATAACGTGGTTATATTATCCTTGTAGAAAAAATACAAGAAATTGAAAGCTTTGAAAGGACTCAATGAAAGGTAGATGTCTATGCTAGTGAAATCCATCGGAACCAGTCAAGCCATTTTGATGGTATTCAGGAGTGCAAATAATGAGCAGGAAAGTCAAAGGGGTGAGTATTTTCATTCATAGTTTATGGCAATTATATTAATTATAAAGCTTTGAATTTCATAAGACAAACTATCATTAAGTTTATATGATAGATAAGTTGATTAGTTGATGGAGTATATATGTTAGAGTTCAAGATAGTTAACTAGTTTCACGCTTGGTAAATTAAGCTTGCTTTTAATAATGTCCTTTTGAGTTTCATGAGCAAATATGATATTAATTCATCATGAAAATGATTTGGTATACAGCTTTAGTCTGGTTCTATGATTTGACCTATATTGAAAATCATTTAGTTTATATAAGTTTTAAGACACCAAAACAGCCTAATAAGTAATGCCCTTTCAAACAAATGTTAAGTCACTTCCTTTGCCAATAATTTTAAACAAACAAGACAAACATTGAGGATTAGCCTACAATTTGATATGTAGAGCAGAACATGCATTTTCATGAAAAAGAAAAAGTGAAGCCTTGGTTACATGATAATCATGTCCTCGTAATTTTGAAAACCTTCTAAAAATCAATAACTGACCTACTTTAGTGGAAGCTGGCACTATTTCACAGCCACACTTAATACTAACTACATCTTCACTCTCCAGTATAGCCCCGTCAATGAGTATAATACTTGACCTGCATCATAAGATCACCAGAAAAGAAAGTAAGAAATCAAGGATAAATCTGTAATGCAAAAGGATATCTACATTTCATAACAAGAAAGAGAAACAATTATATGCAAGAGATAAGACACTGACCTACATTAAATACAAGGTTATCTGAAAAGGTAAAGGAACAACAAAAATCTGGAATGTAAATGGTACCAATACTTCAAAATAAGAATGATCAAAATATATTTACTCATGGTTGGCACTGGGCCATCGTGAGCTGGTCACAACCCATGGCATGGTATGAACAGGCACCAGGCCAATGACATTCAATATCCTGAGTTACGACATTATACATAAGTGTCATGCCTTCTCCACCAAGAATGCAGCCCAAACATGGCACAAGAGGCAGCCAGCAGGCCAATGGTTGCCATGAGGACTTTCTTAAAGGAACATTCTATACAGCAAATGATACATTGAGAGTTTTGAGACTCACAGTATCCTAAGAATGAATACTCTAATTATGAGGTTTCAAGAAGACAGGGTGAAGAATATCATCACTATTGCTTTTATAGTAGATATAATCTATTTTGCACACCCCAAAGTCTCTTTTCTTCCCTTTGACCTTCAGGCCCTCCATTAGTGGTTAGTAATGGAGTGATGGGTCCAATACCAAGTTATAAATTTCATAATATAATATATCCCATTATCCCAACCGAGATGTGTCAAAACAGTAACAACAAAAAAGTCATCTAGAATTAAAGTCAATGCCTTGCTTTCAATAGGGTTACCTTCCACCTTTTTACAGCTCCAAAACTCATACACCTCATTTTCAGCTCACCTATATGGTATCTAACAACCAGCTTACCAACTGCATGCTCTGGACTCTAACTCACATTGCCCTATTCTGACCTAATCTCCCCAAAACTATGTTTCTCTCCCTAATCCTCTTCTTCCCTCTTCTGTCTGACTCTTTTTGAGGAATGAACACAGTCAATATATACATTTAGCCATGTGACTCATGGTTCTCCTGTGAATCAAGATAACCTCAATGTGGCAAAGCTTTGACAAGCCTCATATAACAACCATGATCAGGAGCAGCTACAGCAAACCTTCAACTATTTGAACGAGTTTCAGGCTAACTTACTCTTTTGATCCCTTACTGACTTCCTGGACATGATCATGGGTTCTTTAAAGATTTATATTCTTAAACTATTTGAACCTATCACATCATGGATTCTTTTAAAACGCAAGGGCATACACTTTTGAATCTATCAAATAAAAATTGTATTCATAGCCAAAACTCAATGAAAGTAAAACTAACATCTAAAACCTTAAGGCATAATGCATGTAATTGCTTAAATGAAAAAACAGTCATTCATGTAAATAACATCCTACACATGATCCAATATTAATAAAAACTATAAATTCATTCAAAAGTTTTCATACATTACAAAATCATATCAACGCATGTCAGGAAAACTTGCTTTTTTTAAAAATATATATATATACCTGCCCCTCCCCTTCCCTTCCCCCTCAAATATATGGTATAACTCAAAAATCTACACAATTTATTCTGTTTTGATAAAGTCCCTCATCAAGATATATTGGCTCGAAAGGAAACAAGACAGGATGTGTACCTTTTGTTTCTGATAGTGGCTGAACATCGATCAGAGTTCCTTATAATCTGGCACCATTCAAGCCTATCGGAAGTAGATGAGATCTGTGAACATACAATTGTATCATCTGAGCTAATCTCAATGCTTGCATAGCTTGAATCAGATGGCACTACAAAGATGCAAAAGAAACTAAAGGGTTATTTGAACTCATATAATAAGAAAATGAAACCAACTATAACTTACATTCAAACTCATATGCTAAGAAAATGAAACCAACAATAATTTGTATTCAAAACATAAAAAACTGTATTCCCTGGTTCTAAACAAAGGTCCATTCAGTGAAAAACACATGATCAGTAATGGCATCAAAAGTGAAATGAAAATATGATGATGCCTCACTGGATAAATCTTCCCAGCTAGCTGTTAAATATTATGTCATACACTCGTACTCATCTAGCATCCAATTTTCTAAAATTTGAAATCCTGCTACAATATGCTTTAATAAGGTGTTTAATGGAAGCATCTGGAGAAACTCTTGGTTTCAAAACCAATTACGAAACAAATAAAATAAAAATGAAGAAGAAAATAAGACACGAAAAACAGAAGGAACCCCCTAAAATTGAACCGCTTTGATATTGGATTGAGGCAGGCCAGGCAGCAGTTCCCATTACCTGTCTGTCCTCTCTACAACTATAAATGTCCTGATTCCTAAAGTCATAACATAATAAAACTGTTCAATACAAGCATGCAGGTTGGTCTGTTTTGGCATGATTTACAAAAAGAACCAAGCTAAGCAAAAAGCCAATGTCTCAAGGTAGCAAGTTACTACTCGAGCAGGAATTAGCGGTAGCCACAGCGATTTCGGGATTAGAAAAGTTAATCCAATGACTGTAAAATTAAATTTCAATATAGTTACAGCTACAAGAGGGAAACTTTTGGATGGGAAGAAGTGAAGAACAATGAAATACCTTTTTTTTTTTAATTGAAGGAATGAACAAGAAATACATCCAACAAAAGGTATTGGCGATTTGGCATTTAGCAAAAATACATTGTAATTACCAATAAAAATGTAATTCCATAACACTAAATTTAGACATTGTAACACTTATAGACATAAATTGGCACAATTGCGAAAATTGGAACCTTGAAGAAATCTATAATTCTTGCAAATATCAGTAATCTACTTCCAAAAGAAAAATGCAGTCTTGTAAACAAAGAAAAGCATCCCAACCAAAATCAAACACCAAAAAAATGTACACAGTTATTATTAACAAGATTATTTCTAATAATTTATAAAATGCATGATTACAATAACTGAGAAAAACCCAGTTCATAATTCCTTAAAATTCAAAATTCTAACCTATAACAGCATTGAGGGTCAATCAAATTAGGAGGGTTTTCTTCCAAAAAATACTACCCAGAAAATAAATTTCAATAAAATGATGGTACAACTATTTGATAGACAGAAATTTAACTAAGGAAATTACTGTACCAAGTTTGGCCCAAACTTCATCAGAGGAATTTGAACCAGATGATTGCCCGACGTCCATTGAATTTTTTTTCAGGGTTTGAATTTTTCTTTTTTTTACGGTTTATTTTTTCTTAAATTTTGAAGGGAAAAAAAAAGTTGGGTTTTTAAAATGGTGATGAAAGTGGGTTGCCACTATGAGAACTTATGAAGCTTGTGAGGGAAGATGGAGACGAAAAAAACGAAACCAATTGTTATATTGATAAATTTTAGAGAAATTCTATCTGCTAATCACAATTTTTTCTTTTCTTAGTGGTAAAGTATGAAACTTTTTATTATCAATGGTTATCACGAATTAATAAAACTAAGCTAATGGTAACATTAATAATATTAAAACATCATTAAACAATTACTCAGGGTTAATTTTAGATTAAGTAATAATAGATTTACATTAATATCCTTCAATTTTTTTTAAATAAAAACAAATAATACAAACCCCTCCCCAACCACCAACCCTCCTTTCCTTGCCGGAGCTCAGCTTGGTGTGGCGGACGACGTCTCAACCCTCTACCCCGCCGGAGACCCTCACCACCAACACCCCAATACCAAAACGAGCACCCCTCCCTTGTTCCCGACCCACCCTCTCTCTTCTTTCATAACCACCAAATTAAAACCGCTTGTCGGAACGCCGAAATCAGCCATCCTCCCTAGTCGGAATCAACCACCCTCCTCCCTTCCCCGATTTCTTCTCATTTCCCAAATATGGGTTGAAATTTCTAGGAGTTTTGGTGATTTTGGGGTCAAATTTGTTGACTTTAGGGGGTCAAATTTATCGAAAATGCTAATTCTTGGGGTCGAATTTGTTGGTTTTGGGTTCGAATTTGTTGGTTTTGGGGGTCGAATTGCTACTTTAAGGGTCGAATTTGTTAATTTTTGGAGTCGAATTGGTTAAATATGTTGATTTGGGGTCGAATTAGTGGTCAGAGCTAGGTTTCACAGGTTTGATACGTGTGGAGGTGGTGGTTAGGGTGGTTTTCGAGGAGGGGGAAATGGGTAGGATCGGGTTGGTGTCGATGCGCGAGGTGGTTATGCGCTGGGGTGTTATTGGGGAGAGGGAAGAGGGAGAGGTGGTGGTGCCGCCGCTTTTGGTGCTGTCGTTGCACTTCCTTTCCGACCTTAGCAGCAGTTTAACAATGGTGGTGGTGGCTCTAATGGAAGAAGATGGAGGAGGAAAAAGTAAGGAAGAAGATGGAGGAGGAAAGACATAAGGGTATTTATGTCTTTTTACTGTCTAATAGCTAAACCATGTTAAAGATTTTAACAAATTATTTAACTTAAGTTACCATTAGCTTAATAATATTAATATGTGATTACCATTGATAATCAAAAGTTTTAGGCTTTACCACTGAGAAACAAAAAAGTTTGTGATTACCAGAGAGAATTTCCCTAAATTTTAAATAAAACGGATGTTTAGTAAATTACTGAGCATCCATTATAAAGTGACAATAAAATGTGCAAAAGTTACACTAAAACGCATAAAAGTTACCCTGACATATATAAAAGTTATTTATGCTTCATTGATAAATTTGACAAAAGTGACACTAAATTTGACAAAAGTGACACTAAATCTGACAAAAGTGTACCCGATGTACAGTAAATTACTGAAAACCAGATGTATAAAAAAGTTTTCCTTGTTATATACTTCTCGCCTTCTCGGTTTTCTTTTACTTGCAACACACCTTTTAGGCACGTAGTTTTAGGAGATAATTAGTGAGGGTAAATGAGCGATTTTATCAGTATAATTTTTACATGAAGATTAGAATAGAGTTAAGTATCCTTTGTAAAAATTATAATGGATAATTCATCTGTTTACATTACATAAACTCGACCTCAAAACACGTGCCACAAGGCTGTGTTGCAAGTAAAAAGAAACAGAGGAAGTATTAGACTCTCTCCAATGGTGAGACTTGAATGAGTTTTTTTTAAGGGAGAGAGAGTATTTTTTTTGCAAAGAATACCAATACACAAACTCTTAATAACACCCGGTTTACACTTAATTAGTGTAAATTGGGCTGGGCTGGGCAACTTCATCACCGAGAAAAATGATTTTGAGGAGAGAGAAAATGATTTAATAGCGAGGTGGTCGTCTATGGAGAGATGATCGAGGATTATGAAGAGGAGTTCTTCGTTGAGGAGGTCGAAGGGGTTGTTGTTGTTCTCATGCTTCATCGATTTCGCCATTGAAGGATTGAAGGAGAGAGAAAATGGAGGAAAGTAGAGGGAGAAGTATTGTAGTTGCTAATTGTAGAAAAAAAATGGTTGAATTTTGAGGAAAGTGAATACTCCTGTGATGGAGGATAATTGTATTGAATTGTATTGTTGGGAAGAAGGTGGTAAGGGCAGACTATAATTGATTTCGCCATTAAAGGAGAGAGAAAATAGAGGAAAATACTTGCTAATTGTAGAAGAAAAGAATAACTTTTTTATTTTGATACTCTGTTTTTGTGGAAAAAAAAAGGACACTTTTGTGAAAAAAAAGGGTCACTTTTGTGTAAAAAAAGGGTCACTTTTTTGTAAAAAAAGGGTAACTTTTGTGAAAATATAGGTCACTTTTGTAAAAAAAAAAAAGGTCACAAAATTCCCTAAATACGCTACAATTAGCAAGTATTTTCCTCTATTTTCTCTCTCCTTTAATGGCGATTTCCGTGAATAATGTTAAAAGATAACAAAATTCCCTAAATACGCTACAATTTATTAAAATTCTAGACGTACCGTCCACGTCATCAATTGTAAATCAGTTTTTATTTTTTTAATAATTAGGTAGAAAATGCTAATTAGGGCTTGTTTGGCATCAGTTTTGGTTTTCAGTTTCCTGTTTTTTTGAAAACCAAAAACCAAAAACAGGAAACAAGAAAAAGGTGTTTCCACTTTTCTGTTGTCAGTTTTCAAAATTATCATAATTTTAATAAGTTTATATAATTTTTTATTCATTATGGGACTCATATCATATACTTTTTGAAAACAAAAAAAATAAAAAAACAGAAAACCACAACAATGCCAAACGAACCCTGAATTAGCGGTTTAATTTTCACCCCTTAACAAAATTACTCGACCAAAGTTAGAATATTACTATCAAAATAAAAAAAGAGTTGTTAAAAAGAAAGAAAGAAAGAAGAAATAAAGAAAAAAAAGAAAAACTCTCTGCCGCTAAAACTCTCATGTTGGTGCGCATTCCCCATCACGCCACCGCTGCCGTTAGCAACCACCGCCCACCACTACTCAACGCGCGCAACAGCTACCACCATCAATCCATGTCTACTTCCAACCGTGGCATCCACAACAGCGACAATTAGTTTCCGCAATTAAAGAGGTGAGTTTGCCCTAATTTGATTTATTTTTTAAATAAATGTATAGTTGATGTTGTAAATGCTAATTGGATTCAAATTGATAGTAGTTTAGGTCTGTGTGACATTGTTAAACTTCTTGATTAATATTGATTCGCTCTTTTTTTTTTACTTGTTTACTTCCAACCGCTAATTGAAATAGCGAAGTTAGTTGTTTATTAGTATTTATTTAATTGAAAAGGCAAAGTTAGTTGTTTAACATAATTTTTTAATTGAAACAACCAAAGTATTTGAATCGAAATAGAAAATTGAAAGCATACAGTATGTTTCTAATAGCTTATAAATTTGACAGTGCCTTTTTTGTTTGTTTGTTTTTTTTTTGTTTTTTTTTATTAAATTACTATGTATGGTTGCATTGTTTTTGATTGTAATAGATACTTAAAGGGTTGATTAAACATTTGTTATTTAGAACATGGAGTTCTCAAACTTTCCTTTGTATTGTTATTGGGGAGGAGAAATAATACATAATAATGGTGATATTACATACAAAGGAGGAGAGCAGAAATTTGCATTTGTAAATTCTCGAATGAATTTCGATGAGGTGTTGAGTGTTGACTAAGATATATGAAGTTATGGGATGTCTCTTAGTGGATGTGGAATTGAAGGTGTCAATGAAGTATCCAATAATGCCTGGGTCGTATGTGAGCATTCCATTGGATAGTGACAATGCTTTAAAAGCGATGTGGGAAGTAGTGTCTCGAACACATCCACCTTAATGCAATTGTTCATCGATCAATTTCCAAAGGAAACTGAAATGGAAACTCACTTGGAATCATATCATGAATTGGATCTTAGAACGAGTGAATTTCCAAACATGCCATTGACTAATGAAACTGTGGCAATGGGTTCATTCACTAGAATGCTTACCGATGAACACTATGCTAGTGAGCACATGTTAGAGATAACTTCTCCAACTCATTCACCACATGTAGATGCTTCAAATGGTGATCCATCCATGGTTGTATTTGATTCTTTGAACCAAAATTCTATTGATTTATTTGGTGATGTTGACATTGCAATGGATACTGATGTTGATGAAGATGAAGATACGCAAGATGCTCATGACAAGGCTATAAGAGAGAGTGCTCCATCACAAGATTTTAACATTGTGGAAGAATTAGATCCAATTTTGCAAGATTCTTGGAGGACTTGGTCCAATAACAACGCTTTCGATGGGGAGTTTTCCATTGGCTAACAATTTGATTCTTTGGAGCAATTGAAAGATGAACTGAAAGCTTATTCCATTGCTAAGAATCATTCATTTAAAGTGTTGGAGAGTGAGCCCACCAAATATGTTGTTGAGTGTAAAAGAAATATTCAATGTAAATGTGCTTGGAGGATGCGTGCAATCAAGGATCCTTGTCTTGCTACTTTCAAAATTTTCCCAAGTTCATGCAAGCATTCGTGCCGAGCCATAAATTGAAAGTGACATTAGTATACTTTAGAAAGTCTCACCATTGGAAAATTAGACTTTATAGGAGTTGTTAGATTGAGTAGTTGGTTGGGTATCACCATTGGAGGTAAAAAATAACTCATTTTGTATTTCAATACTCAAAGTTGAGTCTCACTATTGGAGATGGTCTTATGACAATTTTATGTATGGAAATTTTGTCTAAAACTTCTCTAAAGATAGGGTCATTTGTGAACAACTACCCGTTTTTTTTTGTTACTAGCCTAATGCCCGTGCGATGCATGGTTTATAAATTATATTATTAATTATTAATCTTGTAGGAAAAAAATGATAATTCAATTAGTAAGGGCCCGTATACTAATGGTCGATACAAAAATAAAGAAATGTAGTTTGAAAAGTATTTTAAGTCATTAATATATATATTTTGTTAATGTAGTTTGAATAGTAGTTTAAGTTATTAGTATTTTTTGTATAATTTCATTATATTAATTGAAAAATTAAATGCATATTGCTCCATGTAATTATATAAGAGAATCAAATTAGACTGATTCATTTTCTATCTCCCATATAAATAAAACTAAAATTTTTTTGTTATACCTTCTGCTTCAATAGCTACAATTCAATACGAAGTGTTTGTTTTACCTGTCGTATTCACCAAAATCTTTATTATTTAGCATAAATTTTGCTTGGAAAATAATTTTTTACTTTTAGATGTATATTTTTTTAATCTAATTTAATTTAATTTTACTTTAGGATTGTAACTTGTAAATTAAAAATTTGGAAACTCTATATTTATTTTAAAATTACATTAGATAATAGTCTAAAATTAAATAGCTAGAATGGAAAATATTAATTACAGAAATGAAAAGTATATGAATAAAATAATTACAATTATATTATATGAGTTGATGAATATTTTGTGTATAACTAATAGTAGGTAATTAGTGAACTGGCTAGGAAAGGGGGGGGGGGGGGGGAAGAAAAAAGGGAGGGAATTTTGGAGGGAAAAAACAATATTAGAAAATAACATGTGTTATTCCTGGTGTCTGTTTTAGTATTATGTTATTGTAGGAAGGGGTGGGGGGGGAAGAAAAAAGGGAGGGAATTTTGGAGGGAAAAAACAATATCAGAAAATAACATGTGTTATTCCTGGTGTCTGTTTTAGTATTATGTTATTGATTTGTTAAGAACTACCTAGAAGTTAAGAAAAGTTTGGGTAGCACTACCCATTAAAGTTTTCCGTAAAAAAAAAGAAAAAAAAAAAGGTTAATGGCCCACTTTTTCATTTTTTCCCACTTAATTAACACCCTAATTACCTTCTCTCTCCTCCCTAATTAACTTCTCATAAACCCTAGAAATCAAAACCCCCAAATTTAGACATCCTAGCTACCAATTACAATGGTCAATTAGACATTCTACCAATTACAATGGTCAATTAGTAATTAAAATGCAATTGAATTCATTTTCAAAGTCAAAATAACCGAAACTTAGAACTCAATTGAACCCCTAAACTCTAAAAATAAA